ATAGCTAGATTTCCTCCAAAGGGGAAACACCAGAATTTGCCTGCATCAATGTCACATTTTCTGAGAGGCAAGTTTTTCACGGGAAAAACAGCAGATTTGTCAAGCAGTTGTTTTAAGACCAAAACTAAGTTCTCACTAGTAGCTGTTTACCATGGAGAAGCTTGAGCAGCTCCTAGAGCACAAGGGGCTCCACGTTATCAAAGTCTCAGGTAAGTAAAACAAAGGCTGATAATTTTTCCTTTGTCTAGAGTTGTCCTGTGGGCAAAGTCTGGCTTAGCTGAGACCATGATGACTCACAAAGTTTTTGTTTTTTTTTTTAAACACCTTTGGTTGTAGTTTTATCTTATAGTCCCCCATAAAATTGTTATCAAAATTTTGAATTATGTATTTAAGAACAGTTGGTTTAGTATTAGCATTTCCCATGACCATTAGATATTCTCTTGTCCAGTGAAGTAAGACAAACAAAGGGTGGGGTGCCATTCCAGAAAACAGCCTTGTTTATTTACCGGGAGGGCTCTTTAAGTGTAAGAGATCAGTCCAGGTAAATGTGAAAATGTCTTGAGAATCTTTGTGTAAAGGGATAGAAAAGAATGTATCTTTGAGGTCTAAAACAGAAAAATAAGTGGCATCGGATCAGATGGAAGACAGGAGGGTATATGGGTTTGGCATGATAGGATGTATGGGAACAACAGCTGAATTAATGATCCTAAGGTCTTGAACTAATTGGTATGTCCCATTGGGTTTTTTTACTGCTAAAATGGGAGAGTTAAAGGGAGAATTGGCATGTCTCAGGAGTCCCTTTTCTAAGAGATCATGTATTCTGGGAGTTAGTCCTTCTAGGCTAGAGCGGGGGAGGGGGTATTGTGCCAAGCTAGGGAATTGTGAGGGATTTTTAAGGAGAATTCTGACAGGGGGACATTTGGCTATTGAGGGAGAGTGAATATCCCACACTTGACGATTAACAATAGAGGGGCTAATTGGCCAATTGGATTGGGAAGATGAGGATTGAAGGGCTTGAGATAATACCAGGCAGAGGGAAGTTGTCAGAGTGCTGGAAGGGCTTGGCATAGAGAAGTGAATAGAGGTTCCAATTTGGGATAAAATATCACGGCCCAATAAGGGGACCGGGCAGGATGGAAGGACTAAAAATGAGTGAAGAAATGTAAGATTGTCAATAGTGCATGATAGTAGGGGGGTCTGGTGTGGGCGTTGTAGTTGTCCTTCTACCCCAATAATAGAGGTCTGAGAAAGGGAGGTAGGCCCCCTGTATTCTCGTAGTGCAGAGAAGCTGGCACCAGTATCCAATAAGAAAGAAATGGTCCTACCTGCCACAGTCAAGATTACCCTGGGCTCCTGGGCGGTGATCCGCGTTGGGCCAGATGTGCCAGGGCCTCTTCATTGTCCCTCCGTTGTCGCTAGACCTATCAGGTCTGCATGTTGGGGAGCTGTGGGGCTGACGGTCTGATGGGTGGATGCCAAGGGACAGTCTGTGCCCCAATGTCCCCTCTGGTGGCATTTGGGACAGGGCTTAGTTGGCACTCTGGAATTAGGACAGTCCTTTGCCCAGTGGCCTTCCTGATGACACTTGTAACAGGGGCCTGGTGGTTGGGAGCTCTTTTGTAGGGGTTTTCTTTCCTGTGGCATAGGTGGGCTGGTCGAATTAAGAGCTTGTGCTAATAATTGATATTTCTTTGTAATTTTGAGGTCATCTCGGCCATAGTAGGCCTTGAATGCTGTGGCCAGAACCTCTGCCTGAGGGGTCAAGGCCCCCCGATCAAGCTTTTTTAGTTTAAGTCTAATGTCGGGGTAGCTCTGAGAGAAGAAATGCATCATAATTAATCTCTGACCATCCACAGACTCAGGGTCTAGTTTGGTATGTTGATGGAGGCCATCAGTTAGCCTTTGTAAAAAGGTGGATGGATTTTCGTTCTTGTCTTGTATAATTTCATTAAGCTTTTCATAATTAATGGCCTTCATGGTAGCTCCGCGGAGCCCATGAAGGAGACAATTTTGGTACCTGTTTCGAGCTGCAATTCCCACCTCTGTGTTGTAGTCCCATTCTGGGTCTTGATGAGGGACTGTAGCAGCACCTGCCGGTTGGTGATTGTTGGTTAAATGTTCTTGGTCTGTGTGTGTATGAGCCTAATCCAGCACTCTTCTATTTTCTCTGAAGGACTAAAAATGAGTGAAGAAATGTAAGATTGTCAATAGTGCATGATAGTAGGGGGGTCTGGTGTGGGCGTTGTAGTTGTCCTTCTACCCCAATAATAGAGGTCTGAGAAAGGGAGGTAGGCCCCCTGTATTCTCGTAGTGCAGAGAAGCTGGCACCAGTATCCAATAAGAAAGAAATGGTCCTACCTGCCACAGTCAAGATTACCCTGGGCTCCTGGGCGGTGATCCGCGTTGGGCCAGATGTGCCAGGGCCTCTTCATTGTCCCTCCGTTGTCGCTAGACCTATCAGGTCTGCATGTTGGGGAGCTGTGGGGCTGACGGTCTGATGGGTGGATGCTAAGGGACAGTCTGTGCCCCAATGTCCCCTCTGGTGGCATTTGGGACAGGGCTTAGTTGGCACTCTGGAATTAGGACAGTCCTTTGCCCAGTGGCCTTCCTGATGACACTTGTAACAGGGGCCTGGTGGTTGGGAGCTCTTTTGTAGGGGTTTTCTTTCCTGTGGCATAGGTGGGCTGGTCGAATTAAGAGCTTGTGCTAATAATTGATATTTCTTTGTAATTTTGAGGTCATCTCGGCCATAGTAGGCCTTGAATGCTGTGGCCAGAACCTCTGCCTGAGGGGTCAAGGCCCCCCGATCAAGCTTTTTTAGTTTAAGTCTAATGTCGGGGTAGCTCTGAGAGAAGAAATGCATCATAATTAATCTCTGACCATCCACAGACTCAGGGTCTAGTTTGGTATGTTGATGGAGGCCATCAGTTAGCCTTTGTAAAAAGGTGGATGGATTTTCGTTCTTGTCTTGTATAATTTCATTAAGCTTTTCATAATTAATGGCCTTCATGGTAGCTCCGCGGAGCCCATGAAGGAGACAATTTTGGTACCTGTTTCGAGCTGCAATTCCCACCTCTGTGTTGTAGTCCCATTCTGGGTCTTGATGAGGGACTGTAGCAGCACCTGCCGGTTGGTGATTGTTGGTTAAATGTTCTTGGTCTGTGTGTGTATGAGCCTAATCCAGCACTCTTCTATTTTCTCCGGGAGTTAAGGCATTGGTTAAAACTACAAAGAGATCATGGTAAGTTAGTTGATAAGACTGAGTCAAAAGTTGAAATTGTTTTACAAAGGTAGTCGGATCGGCTGTAAAAGAACCAAGCCTGGCCTGAATGAGAGCTAGTTCAGACATAGGAAAAGGAGTATGAACGGGGACAATTCCTTCAGCTCCGGCTACCTCGCGCAAGGGCGCCATCGTGTGACCCATATGTGACCTGGAACGAGTGAGGGGTGGAGTCGGCGCATGGGGTGGGGCAGTGGGAGGTTCGGAAGAAACGAGAGAGGCGGGAGATTCAGGGGGTGGGGAGGAGTCAGAGAGGGTGGGAGGAGGAGTGAGGGGATTTCTTGCTGCCCAGTAAGGAGGAGGGTCATCTGCCGGATCTGGTTGGTTTGGAGAATCCAGAAGGAGGGGGGTCAGTTGTGGGGCGACCTTGAGACAATAGAAGTATGGGAGAGACTTTGGTGGTGGAACAAAGAGAGGGTTGGCTAGCCAGATAGGAAAAACCCTGGACATATGGAATCTCTGACCATTTTCCTTGTCGCTCCCATAAGTTGTAAAGGTCTCTAATCAGACCTGATTCAAAGGAGCCGTTAGGTGGCCAAACGTTTTGATTGTCTAATTGATATTGGGGCCAAATGAATGGATAAGCAAATTAGCAGCTTGGGTTTTAGATTGAGACCCTCTAAATTCCGGAGTAAGCATCCCAAAGGAGAGTCTGCGGGTATGGAGGAGCCAGAGCCCATGACCACCGGGATAAGGAGGTTATCAGAAGTCCAGACGTCTCCGAGAGTTCTGATAAGATCCCCTCTTCTCTAGACCTGGTCTAGAGGATGGAAACTCGGTTTCTTGCGAAGGCGTCCCTCACACAAGATAGGAGTTTGAGTGAAGCTAAGTTCTAGACTTAGCTCAAATGTGGCAAACCTGGTTTGCGAGAGTGAGGACAGAGCCTGGCGCCTGGCCGTGTCCCAAATGTGATCCCAGCGGGTGGTCTGAGGTCTGGGGTCCCCGTTACCCTGAAGACTTTTCAGAAAGGGGAACTTACCCCAAAAAAGTGTGGGTCGGAAGATCAGCAGGTCAGTGGTGGCTGCGAAGATGGCGACGAGGAGAATGGTCAGGATGTCGGGCGGAGGCTGAGCAGGGGCGCCCTAGAATCTGGGTTTTGGGCCTCAGGCGTTTTAGCCTGTGGGCCTGGCAATCCCAGATCCCGCTTCTGACACGAATGAAAGGGGTCTCGAGCCCCCTTTGGGTGCCCCTTACCCAATTATGCCACTCACACACCGAGAGGTCTGGCAGGAGATTTTTATTATAGGGAGGTGAGCAGGAGGCGGAGGGCAGAGAGCGAGAGAATGAGGAGAGGAAGTACTGGGATATTTATAGGGCAGGCAATGGAAGATCCTTCCTTGGGAGAAGCGGTCTTCGTTATCCTATCGCAAGCCAGGTTGTCTTTTGAATTTCGCGCTTTACAATTTCAGCGGGAGAAAGGACTCAGAGTCGGGAAAGAACCCGGAAGTAAGATATAAAATGGCTGGGGGGGGCGTTATATTTTAACATGTGCGATCTCCTAACAGGGATTATGGGTCTGTACTGCCATGCCCAGCTGGTCCTTATTTTGAAGATTGCCTTCCTCCCCGTGGCTGTAATACCCTGGGGGCTTCAAACTGTACCCCCAGGACTGGGCCCTGGGCCTGGAGGGCTGCCCCTGCCCACTGGTACTCCATTCTCCTGTTCACCGCCTCTCTGCCTGTGCACTCTGTCTCTCTAACCTGTCCCCTCTCCCCAGCAGATGTGCCCATGGAGAAGCTGGCCACCATGCCAGCCCTGCACACTGTCAACCTGCGCTTCAACCCGCTGAGTGCCGAGGTGCGCGTCATCGCCCCGCCACTCATCAAGTTTGACCTGCTCATGTCCCCGGAGGGTGCACGAGCCCCTCCACCGTAGGCCACCCTCTTTGTGCCTACCCAGCAAGGGCCAGAGGCCACTGGCCTGTGCACCCTGGAGGAGGGTGGCCCATGGGCCCATGGGGGTCTAAGCTTAGGGGAAAGGGGGGTGGGCCAGATAGTGTGGCGGGGAGGGTGTTGCCACTGTCCCAGGGCAGCTAGCTTAGAGCCATAGTGGGCCCTGGACCGCCCCGAGGGCAGAGGCAAGGCCGTGCTGGCTCTACAGACTCTCTGAGCCTTGTCACTTGGAAAGAAAGGTGGCAGCCCAGAGCCTTTCCTCGTTTGGACTCCTTGGAAGTTTTACCTCCAAATCATCAGGCACCTTCTGAGCTCTGGGAAGAGCACTGCTAAGTATTTTCTGGGCCCTGTGGGTGCAAGGCCTTGTTTCTAGTGCTCAGAGCCACGCACTGCCCTAAGAGGAGAAGATGACAACCCTCATCTATTTATTGCTTCCTGAGAACTGAATTGAATAAGACCCTTCCCAGGACCTCACCCCCAGCAATATGGGTTCCTCGGCTGGGGTGGGGGCCCTGGACCGGAAGTCCTGGGCATGTGTGGAGAGGGTAACTGCATAGCAGGGCGAGAATGTCTGTGAAGGAGCCGGGACCCAGGGAGAAAACCAGGGCTGCTCCATCTGTGCTCATGGTGAAGAGAACTGTGGGAGTCTCTGAGTGCTCAGCCCTCCTCAGGGAGTGGCCAGCTGTGCCTGCTCATCAACCCCTGAGCCACAGGAGGGTGGCCCAGAGAGAACAAAGCCATTCGTGCCTATGGCACTGGTCCAAAGTAATTAGATGGCTGCCCTCACCATGTTCCCCATGTAAGCGAAGCCCGGCGGCCTTGTCATGGCCCTCTGGAGACAGAAGATGCTGTAGGCCACTGGATTTATAGCCTGCCAGCTCCAAGGCCACCCCTGAAGTCCCTGATGACCTAGCTATTTTAAGGCCCTCACTCTGAGTCTAGGGTGTGGCAGGTAGCAGGGTGACAAGCCATTCTGTTTTGCCTGGAATGGGGATTTCACAGGATGTTGGATTTCTAGTGCTAAAATGGAGACAGTACGAGGCAGGCAGGGATGGCTGGTCCCCTTCCAGAAGAGTCCTGGGGCTTTTGCTTTCTGGTAAAACCTGTGCTTTGAATCCCCGACGTCTACCTCCCACATCTCATCTCAGTGACTCAGTGCCCCAGGCCCCACCTGGTCTGTACCTCTGCCTGGCCCTGGAGAAGCCTGAGGCCACAGGACGTGGGCAGAACTGGGCCACTTCACCACTTCTGGATTTAGGCTATCCAGAGCTCAGAGCAGGAACCCATTGTCAGCATCTCCCCCACTTCCCTTTCCCTCTCAGGTGTTGTCTCTTGGTAAAGGACTGACAGGTTGGACACTGATTAGCCCTTGTCACTCAGTACTTGGTGTCCCAAGTGATACCTTGCTCCTTCTGAGGAGGCCAGGTTGGCCAAACTCTAGAGAAAGGGTTTCCAGAGTGACGAGGCTCCAGGGATACTGAGTTCAGCCATGGACAATGAAGGTAGTGGACACTCAAGTGCAGTCCAGACTGGGCTAGTCCCACTCTGTACCTGGAGCAGCGTTTTTCTTTTTGAGGAAGAGCCTGAAACAAACCATTGCATGGCTGCAGCTTTGCAAAGGGAAGCACAGTCAGTGGACAAGGAACTGCAGCATCACGGGGAGCCTGTTAGAAACACAGCATCTTGAAGGGCGTGGTGACGCACGCCTGTGATCCTAGCACTTGGGAGGCTGAGGCAGGAGGATCACCGCGAGTTTGAGACTAGCTTGGGCTACATAGTGAGTTCCAGGTCACTTTCAACTACATAGTGAGAACCTGTTTGAAAAGAAAAGAGGGCCGGGGATTTGGCTCAGTGGTTCTGCCACCTGCTTCACAAGCGCAAAGGCCTGAGTTCTATCACTGGTACGAAAAGAAGCAGCATCTCAGGCCTCATCCCAGCCTCCTGAGTCAGAACCTGCCAGCTGATCCCTACAAGTACTTTCTACTTTGAGAAGCGAGGACCTAAGTGCGACCTGGGTTGTCCTTGGAGTGGAAGGTGAAGGCTCTTAGTTCTTCCTGCTGCCTCCAGGCATCCGAGTCTACGTTCAGCTTCCTCCTGACCCAACCCAAGATATATTGGCCTCCGATCTTTGTAGACTCTGCATGGCACTCCTGTGAAAGAGGTGACTGCAGCCATTAGGTTACAGGGGCTGGGCACGTGAGGCCCTCCAAACCTGCCTCTCTGGTTCACACAAGCTACCTGCTTCCTGGGTCCCCACCCCAGGCCCTCTGAAGGGGTTGCTGTTGGAAGTTGTTTTCTCTTCTGCTTGGGCAGATTGCTCTTGCCTTTTGGGGGAAGCCTGGGCAGGCAGAGAAGCCCCCAGATCCAGGCTCACAGTGTGAGTGAGCCCCTTAGCTTCAGCCTGCAAATAAAGAATGCATTGTTTTCATCTGCTTGGTTGGTGTTGGATTCATTCTCTACACACAGACCTCCAGGAGCCCAGCTGGCACCAGCCCCCGCCCCGGCAAAGAGGGGCTGACCCTCCTTTGGAAATCAAGGTAAAGGAAACACGTGGGGTGCTACTCGGAATAGTCATGGTGGGCACAGGTGCAGATCGAAGCATGGCCTGCAGCTGGGCTGCTGCAGAACTGGCAGGTGTCTCCCTGGGGAGGATGAGAGACCGCTATTCCCAGTTGCCCTGATTGGTGCCAGCCGCGTCACTCTTCGTAATTCCTTCCTTGGGCCCATAGCTCTGAAAGAGCAGTCTCTGGACAGGCAGTGTCTGAACACTCCATGATTTTTATTTCTCAGGCACATAGAGGGCTAGTGCGTAGCAGGCAGTGTCTCTGCATGTTATAGATAGTGATTCACTTCTCTGTAATAGTCTTAGCTAGTTCTGTGATCCCTCTCCAGATCCTATTTCCATCTGTAAAATGAAGGGGCTGCCCTTGGAGTTCCCTGAGGGTCACAGCTTTGCAGATTTTGAGGATCCTGCTTTCACTTGCCACTGTCCCCTGTGGATGAGTTCTGTCCTATCCCAAAGGTCAGAGAGGACTCATACCTGTGGAGTTTCTGTCCAGTGTTGGCTCACAGGGACATTAGCAGGTGTCCCTATTGGCCAGACCCTTCCTGCTATAGAGAGAACCAGCACAGTTTCTCCTAGGCCACTGATGTCGAACATTTAGAGCTTTCGAGGATACAAACAGCCCACTGCCAGCACGCATGCCGTAGGTTCACCACCAGCATTAGGCTGAGGGGCCATGGGATTTCAGTAGGGTTTTTATGCAGGGAAGCCTGGATTAGGGGTGGGGAAAGATCATGACATACTCTTTGGGTTTGGTAGCACAGGCCTATAGTCTCAGCACTCTGGGAAGCTGGGGCAGGAGGAACGGAAGTTCAAACCCAGCCTGGATAGTTCAGTGACATAGTGAGATCCTGTCTCAAAATATATTTTTAAAAATTTTTAAAGGGCTGGGATATAGGGGTATAAACTCTTTGTGCTATTGAGAATTGAACAGTCTGACATTCTTTTGAATGGCTTAGAAAATCTCTGGAATGAACAGTTATTTGCCGCTTTTACTTCCTGGGCCAGTTTCCTAGAAAGTATGGTTACATGAAGAAGAGGGTAGAATAGCAGAGTTAATGTAGACAGCTATGTGGAGCTACATTTTGATTTTGAGTTTCCCCTAGATTCTATGTTGGACCCCAAGGCCCTGCTCTGAAGCTAGTCTTTACCTGAAGTGTGCCTATCCCTTTGCAAAAAGCCACCCAGGGGAGTGGGGCGCAGTTCTTGGCAAGGTGAATTGGCAGCCACCCTAGAAGGCCTGAACAGAGCCCTGAGAGAAGCCAAGGCAAGAAGGGTGGGCCCAGTGAGAGTGCAGTGCAAGGACGCTGGGTGGGAAAGCTTTCCAGCTCACAAGCAGCCAGACCATGCTCTGAGTAGCATCTTGGGGCTGGGCCCATCTCTGAGGAAGGGACAGAGTCACAGGCACTGGGCAGGCACTAGTGTGTTTCTCATTTACTGTCAGCAGTGCCCCTCTGATGCCTCCTGAATAGATAAGGAGACAAGCTGGGGCGTTAGTGCAGGGCCAGGAAGAAGCAGGGCTGGGCCTTGTGCAAACTGGGTGGCTTTGCTGCTGCAAGTCCAGGGCCTTTGCTGTGAGCCCAAGGCCTCACAGGAGGTGGCTTGCATGGGAGAAGTGACCTGTCACTTTCTCCTGCTGACACATTCCTTCTCCATGTTCCTGGGAAAGGTCTCTGAGCTTCTACTTTCCTCATTTGTAAAATGGGTGTCAAAGGCAGACATGGTGGCACACACCTGTCATTTCAGAGGCTGAGACAGGAGGATGGAAAGTTTGAGCCCTGCTTGGGCAATTCAGTGACTTAGCAAGACTCTGCCCCCAAAAGGGGCTGGAGATGTAGCTCGGTGCAAAGACCCTGGGTTCAACCCCAGTATCAGAAAAAGAAAAGGAAAGAAAAAATGAAGAGTGCCAAGATTGTCCAATGCCAAGACCAAATGCCAGTTAGCAACACAGCAGAGGTAAGTACAGCACATTGTGCCGAGAGCTTCTCTCATAGCTATTTTCACTGCCATGTGGTAGGCAAAGCCTTTGGCGTCCAGCTTGTCTCTCGTGGCAAGCAGGGCTGCCTCTTACACACCTCTGGGCCACATCTGGAGCTGGCGGGACATCTAGTCAGACAGGGAACAGGAGACCGACAGCGCTCTGCTCCTACCATCCTCACAGTTCAGGGCTCTATGACCATTCCGGTTCCAGCTCCAAGGACAGGAGGATGAGGCTAAGGAGTCACTTTGATGTGGGCCGGAGCCCACACAGCTCCACCTGTATGCAGCCAGATTCACACCAGAAAGGGCCCCTGGCCACCTTCTTTCCTGTAGGGGGCAGCACCTAAATTACTCTTCATGAGACTGCCCCAGTGTACGAGCTTGGCTGGTCATTCACAGTGCAGGCCTCAAAACTGGCACTATCTGTGTGGAGAGCTGTGAGGGTGGGTACCCCAGAGTCACGCTGGGGTGCCCCTGCTTCTCTGGGCTATTTACAAGGGGCTCAGGTAAGCTGGGGCGGAATCCCAGGAAAGCAGGCTCTGGAAGTAGGGCTCACCTCTGCACCTTAAAAGAGTCTCTGTTGCTAACCCTCCATGCAGCATGCAGAGGTCCCTTCTAGACCCTATTGCATCTACTTCTAGTTCTGAAGAGCTCTCCATTCCCTTCAGGGCAAAGCAGAGGCCTCGGGATGGTGTTGTAGGCTTGGCATCATCCATCCCTGTTGATTCACTGGTCTTACTGCTCCCAGCCATTTCCCCAACACCTCAGGGGCGTTCATGCCTGGCCTTTGAATTTGTCACCCTGTATGTCACTCATTTATTTCCTTCAAGTCTTTGCTCAAATGAAGGCCTTCTCTAACCACTGTACTGCACCTCTCCATTCCAGGCCCAGCCTCTGTATCACCTCTAACATGCTCCATTCTCTTTATAGTGCCCACCTTTTAATACACTCTTGTATGTATTCAATCTCTTCCCTTCCACTAAAGTCTATCTTGGTCTCTTCTGTGCCCACAGTGCCTGAGCAAGGCCTGGTACATAGTAGGGACACTGTGTACTACTCAAGACCTGAATAGTCAACAGTGACTGAGGCGCTAGTGTTTGAGGGCCCCTGCTTTAGAGAACTGCTGCCTGATAGGGCTGCTACCAGCTCAAGTTCAGGTCCCACATTAAATACCTGTGCTTTGCCCCAGGAGAGTTTGCTTTCATAGGGCTAGCTAAAAACCAGTAGGGAATCATCCTCACTTTGGGCTTCCCAGGTCCTCACAAGCTGTGTGATTGTGGCTGGGGCTTTTCCTAAGCTGGCGCCAGGAGCCAGTATGGATGGCCCAAGGGAGGAGGAGCTGTCTTCCCATACCACACTCTGGCCTCACTGCCTGTAATCCTGCCGTTATGAAATCCCTGTTTTGAACAAGTATTGTCCTTTCCCTGTGATCTTATTTCAGCCCCTGTCTGGATTTAGAAGGGGATTCCTAAAACAAGGTTGAGATTACAGCTACACTGCCCTTGCTACTCACAAGTGTGGTCCTCAGATGTCCATAATCACAGCACTGGGAGTACGTTAGAAATGTAGAGTCTACATTTCTGGGGCGGGTAGCAGCTACTCAGTGCTAGAGCACACACTCAGCTTGTGTGATGTCCTGGGTTCCATCCCCAGCACCCCCCAAAATATTAGAATCTAGGTTTCTCCCCCAGAATTTGTCCTGTAACGAGATCTGCTGGTGATTCATGGGTGTAAATTTCCCAGCAGGGGACTTTTCTACTGAACACAGACTCTCAAGTTGACACCTAACTTCACAAGAGTCTATGCCCTTAATTAACAGTGATGAACAATATTACAGTGTACACTCGCTGTAACCATTGTGACCCCAATGTCACAGGCAGATTTGTTTGTGCTTCCTGCATGCAGGTAGGTACCAGCTGGCCTCTTTTCTAGGTTTAGGCTAATATTTTCTACAGTGGATTCCCTAGGATGGTGGCTTTTGAGTGTTAACATCTCAGACACCAATTCTATTAGCTGCTCTGTGTCTCTTTTTGAAAAAGTGCTGGAGTTGCCCAAAGCGTGAAGGGAAAGGAAAGAACCAGAGGTGCAAAAAGCAGAAGAGGTGAAAAGCAGTTAACTGCAAAATAAATACTAGCAGCTCACTGTGCATCTGTGACTAGGTTGAATACTCTCTGCTTCCTGTCTCATTTAATCCACAACAACAGGGGAGGTG